CCCCGGGCGGGGCCCCCACCCCGCACCTGCCCATGGAATTCCCGGATGGAATGCCCGCGTGCCTGTGGGATGCGTCGCCAGGCCTCCCCGGGAGGCTGAGTCGTGTCTGGAGGACTGCGGGCCGAGGGACAGGGCCACGTTGTCAGCTCCGTCACTTGTTGGTGCCTCCCTGGAGCTTGGCCGGCGCCTGCCCTTACCCCCTCCTCCCCCACGGGGGGGGGGGGGGGGGGGGGGGGGGGGGGCGGTGTGCGTGACTAGCAGGACGCTTCCTCCCACACGAGAAAGTGACACGGACAGTCTCTCCCGTCTTCCGTGCGGCGGTTCGGTGTGTGCGTCCCCGATCCCGTCTCAGGTCATGGGGCGCCAGCACCCTGTCTGACCCGCTGCACACGCAGCCGCCCTGGCCCCCCCCAAGTGTCTGCAGCCGTGGGGCCACCGCGTGGGGCTGCAGGAAGTGACCTCTGCCCGGGCCGTCCCGCCTCCCCCAGGGAACCAAACAACATTCCGGCTGACTGGGCTGGTGGCTTGTGGTGGCTGCCTGGGCCGGGGGTGGGGGGTCCTCTCCGGGGCCACAGGGGTGTCTGACATCATAGGTCATCAGAGGTCAGCCCCGGACAGGCCGCCCCGGGGAGGCCCCCCCCCACCCACCTGCACAGCTTCTTACAATAGGGCGCCTCCCACCTTTCCTCACGGAGCCCCTAATGCTTGGAGGCCTGGGGGTTGTCCCCAGGCTCAGGGCTGGGGGGCGGGGGGGGGAGGGGTCAGCCAGCGTGGCAGAGCTGGGCTTCACCCCGGGCGCCTGGCACCAGCACCCCTTGTGACGATGCGGCTCTGCCCGTCCGTGTCGCCCCCTTGCCCGCGGCCAAGCGCTGCTCTACTGCCCCTCCTCTTAGGAGCCGAGTGAGGAGGGGACAGCCTCTGCCTCCTCCCAGGGCCCCCATGGCAGGTGCAGGGTGAGCGCCAGGCCTCCTGGGAGTCGGCCAAGCGAAGTGGATGGTGGCCGGGCCATGGGGTCTCTACACAGGTCTGCAGCCAGGCCTGCTGGGCCCTCAGGGCCAGGCCCTGCCCGGAGGCGTCTGGCTTTGTGCCGTCCTCCCTGCTGTGCGGCTGACCACACACTCGGGTTCCAGCGGGAAGCGTCCCCTCCCTCCCGCTCCACCTGGGCTCCGTCTCCATCCTGGCCCACGCCGGCTCAGGCCGCCCAAAGGGGCTGGGGTTTCTGGGGGGATCCCTGCTCGGGTGCCGGACACCTGACCCCGGGGAGCGTGGCAGCAAGCAGAGGCCGACACCTGTGGGCGGCGGCCGAGGACCACCTGCCCGTCATTGCCTCAGGTGGGCGGGCTCGAGGCGACCCTAGAGTCAGATCGGCCCAGCTGTGACTCAGACCAAGAGGAGGAGGAGGAGGAGGGTGGGCTGGGGCTGAGCCGCCACCAGGCCCCTTACCTTGGGGTTGGCCTCCAGGTAGTTGTACAGCACGTTGATGGAGATGGTGAGGTCCCCGTTGTTGAAGGGGTACGACCTGTTCCAGCCCTGGGCCCCAAACTTGCGCCTCTCGGCCACCACGGCGTGGAAGTAGCAGAGGGCGAACAGGATGCACTTGAACTCCATCTCCTTGGTGCACATCTCCAGGGTGTCCTGCAGGGGGCGCACCCGCCAGGTCAGGGTGTCCTTTTAGGAATACGGTGACTGCAGTGCAAGGTGTGTGTGTGAGCGTGTCTCTGCATGTGCGTGCACAGGTGCTTGTGCAGGGGTGTGTGCGAGTGCATGCCTACAGGAGTGTACATGAGCATGTGCACGCGTGTGTGATCATGCATGTGTGTGCGTGTGTGTGCGTGTGTGTTGTTGTTGGTGTGGATGGAGAGCAGCAGAGTGGAGCATCCTCAGAGCTCAAGTCTGGCCTCTGTAGGCCCAGTGACTCCGTGTGCTCTGGGTCCCCGACTCCGTGTGCGGCGGCTCAGACGGGGACGGGCCTGGGCTGGGCACGGGCACAGGGGGAAGCGCCCACCTGGGTGAAGAGGTCCAGGGCCTTGTGCAGGTTGGCATGCATGCCCGTGGGCGGCTCGTTGGTGATCTTGATGGCGTTCTCCAGGATGCCCTGGGGGATGATGTGGGAGTCGGGGCTGGGCGCGGGCTCGGCGCTGATGAACACGCGGTAGTCCTCGTGGCTGCCGACGCTGTACCGCTCCAGCTTCTTGTCCAGGGTGCTCAGCCACCGGGCCACCAGGTGGATGTTCTGCGGCCAAGACCCGTGTTAGCGCCCGCACACACTCCTCCCTGCTCTGGGCCCACAAGGACAGGCCGCTCGGCCATGCCCGGCGGTTGTTCAGTGGTTAGCGCATCGGCCCTCGAACTGAGGGTTGCAGGTTCGATTCTGGTCAAGGGCATGTATCTCGGTTGCAGACTCGATCCCCAGCCTGGTCAGGGCGTGAGCAGGAGGCAACCAGCCGATGCCTCTCTCCGAGGTTTCTCTCTGTTTCTCCCCCTCCCCCCCACTCTCTCTAAAAATCAATGGAAAAAATATCTCGGCTGAGGATTAACAGCAGCAAAAGTGAGCAGGCCAGGCCCTGTGGGTCGAGTCAGCCTCACTGGGGTCCGCGGGAGCCGGGCAGCCCGGGGGGGCAGGG